CCCCAAAACCCCAAAACCCCAAAACCCCTAACTAACTTTTAGCAATAGAAAATCCCAAACGAAGTGGAAATGGACTTCTCTGTAGACTCTTACTTACACAAAGGGTTAGTGATCCCCCAGCATCTCTGGATCAAAATCAGGGGACGCCAACAAGCTGAGCAAGGCGCTGGGTTCCAAGCCAATCTCTCAGCTCTTGGCATTAGCTGTCTTTTCAGCAAATTTTTTCTGATTTTCCTTATTTCTTTCTAAGCTTTGGTAGTAGTCTTTCCTCTGGTCGGCCCTTTCGGTTGTCTTAAAGCTAGGCCCCTTTCCCATGGTCAGAGCTTTGGTGGAATACATCGTCTGGAAGGGCACATTGTGTGATTGAGGTATCTTCTTTGCCTTTATACTCTTTTTGAATTTGTTCAGATACATCTTTTTAAGATTCTTGTCTCAATCTTTCTTCATTTTATCCAAAGACTCCTGTGAAATATCTCTCTGAGACAGATCAATCTTGCAGTAATAGCTCTGCTCATAAATCCTCCTGTGTTTGCCAGAGTTGATCTTGGATGATCAGCAGCTTATTTCAGATTTGGTCGCGGTTGAACTCCTTGCAGTGTTTGTTTCTTTAACATGCCCTTCACAATTCATCTCAGATTTTTCTTCCAAACCATTTGAATCATGAATCTGAGGATCGGTTCCAGTAAATTTCCTGTCAATCTGGCGTATTTGGCATAATTTTCCTCTTTGCTGACTCTCCTTCTCGTCACTAAGATAAAGAGTTGCCTTTTCTAGTGAAATTAATGATGGAAATTACTTATTGAAGATCTTTTGACTGGAGTTTTTGGGTCACTACTCACTCCAAAGTTTTCATCCTTTGAAGAGTCCTCATAAGGTCGGATATTCAAATGCTCTAGTGATTATGACAAAGAGCTTACTTGCTCGAGCCTTCTTCGAGTTAGAAGACAAACCTGGCTTGCTAAGGTGCTTGATAGGACACACAGTCTTAGTCTTGGAGATCCTACTCACATTGGCCACTCTCAAGTTCGAATTTTTAGATTTCTGCTTACTCTCAGGCGTCCTTTCTTCACTGTATTTCTTAGTGAGTTGTGCTTTTCTAAGATTTATATAGCTATCAATAGAAGGTCCATATCCAATCTTAGACTCAGATCTTGCGAAGGAATCCGAATTCAGCCTTCTATAATCCTTATTTGGAGTGCAATAGCTTGAATTCAACTTGTTTTTATTAGTTGAAGCTGGCTTTCTTCCCATTCTATAAACATGATATTATCCAAAAATTGCTTGATATTGTATTTTAAGCAAAGAAGCACAACAATTTGCTCACAAAGTGACTAAAATCTGAGACATATTTCCTTTTAATTTTGTACGAAATTCTAAGCTCTCAGTCTCAATAAGTTCAAAGAAATCATTTTAATTTTAGCTTAAAATCTAGCTTTTAAGGTAAAATTCAGCTAAAAATGTTTAATTCTCCTTCTAGTGAAGAATGAATTGATCAAACAAGGCCGCTGCAACTTCGTGCTTGGTCCTTAAACTCGACATACTTTCTGGCATGACCACCTGTTTGTAAATATAAGCAGCCTACAGAAGATATTCCACTTAAAGCAACCCTCCTGTAGCTTTAGGGAGCTATTGAGGTATAATCTGCTAATTTAGAGATAGAATTTTGCCCAAACTCTAAAATCCTAGCAGAGAAATTTTAATTTTCCAAGTATAACTTCGTTCCAGCAGAATATATTATCTTCCATTTAAGGGACTTGGCATTGTGTTTGAGAAAAGATTTTGTGCTTAAAATCATACAGAAAATGTACATACTTAGTGTATAATATATTTCAACAATAACTCCTTCTTGGTGACCTAAGTAATCCGATTAAACCAATCTGAAGAATTCCCAAAATATGCGGAATAAGCCTGTAATGTGTCCGTAAATCTTCACATTGCAAGATTTGGCTAACTTGACTTACTCTGATCCCATTTGATACTTTTTGAGATACAGATTTACTGTTGGCTTTTTCGATCCTGATTCTATGCAACAAAGTTAGGATTTTCAGCAATAAGGATAAGAAGGTCCCAAGTTTTGGTACAAGAATAGCCTCGATTATCCACCCGAAAGTAGCTTGAGGCTAACATATATCAAAAATTTAATACGTAATCAGTAAAACTTTCCCCATTTAGTCAGTTTTCTATAAGAAAATACCTCTGATCCTAATTTGAAGCGAAATTTCTCCTAAAAATCCAAATTCTGGGCTAAAAGCTTCTCTCTTACCTTGTTTATTCATATTTACCGAGTCCTCGCTCAAGTTGCTGAAAAAATGTAAATTAAAATTATTCAACATTTTGGTGCTTATACGGGGTTTTGGGGTTTTGGGGTTTTGGGGTTTTGGGG